GGGCGCTCGGTGTGTGTTTCTGCCTCGGTCCTCCACCCCTGACTGCGAGGATTGTTGTCCCAGTTTTGCAGATGGAGAAACTGAGGCGCAGAGTGGGGGGAAATGACCTGCCCAAGGTCACACAAGGAACAGGGGTCAGGCTTTTAATTCTGGTCTGTCCACTTCTCAAGCCCGCTGCACGGGGCACCTTTTGGTGGGGACAAGAGGCCCATGTGGACAGCATGCAGGGAGCATTGCAGAGAGGGCCAGTGAGTGAGGTGGGCAGGACCAGACCCCCTGAGACTTTGCTGGGACAGGCACTGGAGGGCTAGCTCTGTGTACACAGGGAGCCTCTGGGGTCAGGCAGGGGCGGACTAGAGGAGAGAGAACCCGAGAGGAAAGAGAGAGGGCTGCAGTGGCAGTGGTGGGATAGGCTGGGGCAAGGCGGGGCCTGGGGACTGTAAGGAGGCTGGGCAGAGAGAGGCGGGGCTTGGGGGCTGAGGAGCTGTGGGACGTGAAGGTTAGGGAGGGGCGAGGACAGCACCTGGGGTCTGTCACTGACGAAGTGACAAAGGAGACGTCCCTGAGATGGGGACCCAAGGGAAGGTGGGTTTTGGGGAAGGAGGCTGAGCTCATTATGGTGCATGGTGAGCGTGAGGGCCTGGTGGGGGGAGACCCAGGGGATAAGGGGTGACATGTTAAAGCAGAATGTAAAGCAAGATCTTAGAAATCTTTTTTTCTTTCCTTCTCTTGAAACTATGAGGAAAGTAGAGGAGATTCACAGAATCTTAGAAAATCCCACTCTGAATTTGTTTCTGGGTTTTGAAAAGAAGTAGTCAGTTCTGTGGTCCTAGGCATGTTCCTGCGTCTGCCTGCACCTGTTTCCTCAGCCTTCAGCCTTGGAGGTTGGGCTGGTCAAGCTGTGGATTCCTCCCAGCTCGGAACTTCCTCCTACGGTGAGGACAGATAACAGCGCTGCAACGTGGGTGGCCTCACTAGTCCCGTTTTACAGATGAGGAAACTGAGGTGCCCACGGTGGCTCACCTGAAGTCATGCAGGTGGTGTTAGGGGAGCCGGGATCAGAACCCAAGTCTGCCTGCCGCAGGGCCCATTGCCCGCTCCTCTAGATTACCTGGTTCTGCCACACCAAGTTTTGGAACAACCAAAGTGAGATGAAAGTCCCCCTTTGGAAAGAGATGTGAGCAGGTGGAGCCGGAAGGGAGAACTCACTCCACGGTGCCGGGGCTCTGCGACCAGCAGCGCCTCAGCTTTGCTGTGCTCCTCCTTGGAGCCACTGGCTGCTTCCGACTTCCCAGCCCCACTGACTGCACATGTTCATATCCCTGAAATCGCCAGATCCAAGGTTTAAAGGCCTCTTTCCCTCTTGCTTTTTAAAATGACCACTGGGGTCCTCCAGAGCCCCTCTAATGTCTGGATTTTTTCCAACCTCATTTTCTGCTACTGCCTCCTCTTCTCACAAATACCCTAAGTTTCAGGAAATCCGAGTGACTCACGATTGCTCTCATCCTGTGTTTTCCTGCACCAGGCCTTTGTTCCGCGGCTCCTGCTGCCTTGAAGGTTCTTTTCTCACCTTAGATGTGCCTCCAAACCCCACCGGTCCTTCAAAAGCCCTCCCTAGGAGGGGCCCTTGGGTCACCCCCTCCCCCTGAGATTGTAGCCTCCCCGAGGCCCCGGCACATTCTGTGCTCGCTTCGGAATGTAGTTGTGCGGTTCCAGGACGCCGCGCCCCAGAGTGGGCCCCTTCAGGAGCAGGGACTGTATCCGGTTTCTCCCTCCATCCCTCCCGCTGCTTGTCCAGAACCCTCCCCAGTGGATGTTAAGTGAATAAATGATGCCTTTCCTTCCTGGGGGCTCTAAACCCTTCTGCCCCTGAGCCAAATGACTTTATGCTTGTAATAGCCTGATGTTTCTTTATTGCAGTGTCATTGATACACAATCTTATATTGGTTTCAATTATACAACACAGTGGCTCAACAGTGACTCATGTTAACGCCTCACCCCGACTAGTGCGGTTACTATCTGTCCACATAGGGAGGTGTTACAGAATCATTGACTGTATTCTTCAGGCTGTGCTACCATCCCCGTGACCAACTTACATTATGACTGAGAATTTTTGTGCTCCTATATCCCCTTCTCCTTCCCTGCCCACCAAACCCAACTTGTCGCCCATGTAACCACCAGTCACTTCTCAGTGTCTATGAGTCGACTGCTATTTTGTTTTTCCTTTTCTTTTTTTTATTCCACAAATAAGTGAAATCCTAGGGTGTTTGTCTTTCTCCATAACAGCCTGATTTCTTAAATTCCCAGACCCTTTTGTAGGAGTGAATGTCAGGCGTCCCATAAGGAAGGGAAGGAGCTCTCCCTCAAGCATCGCAGTCCCCTGACCTCTGCCCCCTCCCTTTGCAGCCTGCGGGAGCTCTGAAGCCTCAGCCTACCTGGACGAGTTGCGTTTAGCCGTGGCTTGGAACCGCGTGGACATTGCCCAGAGTGAACTCTTCCGGGGGGACATCCAGTGGCGGGTGAGGGGTCAGGGCCTGGGAGTTGGGGACGACAAGGAGTTGCACTCTCCTTCCTTCCTGACATCTCGGACAGCTGGTTCCATCTTCCATGATGGCCTGTCAAGCCTTCTCTTATTGTCCATCCACCTGATTGTCTGTCTGTCCCCATCTTGTACCCTCTCTCCCCATCCATCCGTCCATCCATTTGTCACCCACAGTTCTACCCCCATTGCTTGTCCTTAACCTCTGACCTCACCAGGCCTCCTGTCTGTCTCTGGGCTCATCTCTTTCCCCATTCATCCCACTGCCGCCAGTCCTTCCACCTGGAGGCCTCTCTCATGGACGCGCTACTGAATGACCGGCCCGACTTCGTGCGCTTGCTCATCTCCCACGGCCTTAGCCTGGGCCACTTCCTGACTCCGACGCGCCTGGCCCAGCTCTACAGCGCGGCGCCTCCCAACTCACTCATCCGCAGCCTTTTGGACCAGGCGTCTCACGGCGCAGGCAACAAAACCCCAGTTCATAAACCCTCTGCGGAGCCCCAGGTCCCTGACGTGGGGAAGGTGCTGCGGATGCTGCTGGGGGAGACGTGCGCGCCGAGGTACTACGCGGTGAGCGCCGAGGATCCCCACCAAGGCTCCGGCTGCAAGGAAAGCGTGAGCACCCAAGATCCCGGCCATGGGGGCGGGGCGTGTGAGCGAACGGGGGTGGGGATCGACGGTAGGGGCGGGGTCAGGCGGGCCCCGGGCGGGGCCAAGCCTCACCACGCCCCCTTGCCTGCAGACGAATCTGCTCTCGGAAAGGGCTACCTCGGAACTCGCCCTGGACGCTGTCCTCGGGCAGGCCCCTTGGAGTGACCTGCTGCTCTGGGCACTGCTCCTGAACAGGGCTCAGACAGCCATGTACTTCTGGGAGATAGTGAGTGCTGACCTGTTCTCTGGTTCTGCTCTCTCCTACCTCCCTGTCCTTTACTTCCACTGGGGTCCAGTGCCCTGGTGGCAAGGTCCCCTAGCCACTGACGTCACCCCGACCCCCACCCCGTCCTCCATTCCTGACCAATGCCTCCGACTACTACTTCTTACTTTCCTTCCTTCCTCCTTTCTTTCCCTCCTTCCTTCTCTTCCTATATCATGTACTTTTTATAACCTGCCTTTCCGTTAATAATATGTATTGGGTGTTTTCCCTCGTTCATACATCTGATGAATCAGTCTTATTCTTACAAAACGGTTGCTTGTATGGGGGAGTTAGACGTTCTCCTGTGGCTGATGGGGAGTCTTTTAAACACAGGTACATTTGCAAATTAGACGCATTGCCCTAGTTGCAGTGCAGAAGGGGACTAGACTAGAGGCAAGGGTGCCCAGTAAGAAGGTAACGGTGGTGTCCTCCAGGCAGCCAAGAGGAGGGCCTGCACCAAAGCAGGCAGGATGGAGGTGTTGGGACACATTTAAGAAGCTTGAAAAGTTAAAAAAAAAGTCATGGGACTTGAATAGGATCTAAGATAGAACTATGTTTATGCCGAAGAATTATCTTGATAGGACCTGCCTTGGATTGTTTTCAGCCCATCAGGTCGTCGGTTAAATGTAGATTTTTTCCCTATTGAGATAAAATTCATGTAACATTTGTCCTTAAATGCTTTCAAACATCACCTGGGAAGCCACTTCTGCTCTGGGGAAGCTCCAAGAACCGTAGAGCAAAGGCGAGCCCCTGAACTGCTCTCTCAGGGGGCCCCCTGCTGTATCCACACACACAGGCAGTTACCTAAGAGGAGGATCTGAATTGCTCCCTTCGGCACCAACAACCAGGAATGTGAGCTCCTGCCTTCCAGGCCGCCACTGTGCTGGGGAGTAGGTGGTTCTGAGACACGTTAGTGAAAATGTCAGTGTTCTACTGAAATTTAGCATTTTCTTTCTTCATCAGGCACTCTTCTCTTTGTTGTAGATTTTATATTAGATTCCAGAAAATTCTGAAAAAGTTGATTCTGACAGTTTTTCAGCTTCTTTGTTGCTTTTGCGGAGGGATGGAGTTTTGAAGTTCTCTACCCCGCCATTGCAGGGGGACATCTCCGGCTGCTGCTCGGCCTGCCTGTAGCCTCTGATGTCATTCTAACTCCTCCTCAGCCTGTTCTAACAACCAGTCTGAGCCACTTGCCTTCTCACATTTCACCTGATGTTCAGTTTCTTCCAGATCCATCTGCAAACATCACATACTTGACCTCTGATGACCTTGGTTAATTTCTGACCCCTGGCTCTGTCCCTTCTCTTGGTCACAGGTTTTTCTCTCTTTTTTCACCCCTCTGAGAACCTCACTCCAAGCTCTGACCCTGTCCATGATCCAACCCCACTCTCTCTCTCCAGGGCTCCAATGCTGTGGCCTCAGCTCTTGGGGCCTGTCTCCTGCTCCGAGTGCTGGCGCGCATGGAGTCTGAGGCTGAGGAGGCAGCACGGAGGAAGGACCTGGCGGCCAAGTTTGAGGGGCTGGGTGTTGGTGCGCGGGGCACGGGTGCCTGGGGGCAGGGTCTGGAGCTCCCCACGCACCCTCTCCCCCTCCTTTCCCTCCCTCTCACGGGCATCCCTGCCCCCAGACCTATTCGGGGAGTGCTACCGCAGCAGCGAGCACCGGGCAGCTCGCCTGCTCATCCGTCGCTGCCCACTCTGGGGAGATGCCACCTGCCTCCAGCTTGCCATGCAGGCTGATGCCCGTGCCTTCTTTGCTCAGGATGGGGTACAGGTGAGTTTCTGGGGCATCAGCGCCCCTTCTGTCCCCAGCTGGCTTCCAGGGAGTTTGGAGGATAAGCCCCTACCGCTCCCCCTGCAGAAGTTCTCAGCCCTCTCCCAGGAAGGGTGCTCTTCCCGTTGGAAGCCCCAGCCCCAGCCCCAGCCCCGCCACAGGAAAGGCAGCCTTCCCACAGCACAGTCTGCCCCGCTACAAGTTCCATTCCAAGTACAGGAATTCCTCTCACAGGAAGTCCTTCCCAGTCCCATAGGGGATCCCATTCCTCCCAAGGGAGGGCCCGCCTCCCCCACCGGAAGTCCTTCCCACTTCCTTAAGAGTCCCCCAGTTACAGGTCTCCACACTAGAGTGGCCTTCCTGGACAATTACCTAGTGTTTTGGACAGACTCCAGTTTAGGAAATCCACCCTTCCTGTAGGGAGTCCTCTCCTTTGGGAAGCCCTGCTTGCCCTTCCAGTCTCTCCCATTCTTTTGTTTCGAAAACTTTCTCAGTATCCTTAATCTACATCTGATGGGTTCAGGGATTCCCCCCTCAGTACCGGAAGTTCTTCCCATCCAGCAGGAAGTCCAGGTTATCCCAGCAGGAAGTCCCAACTCACCTGTTGGAATGGTTTGGCTGACATTTCAGATAATTACCCACAGTCCATTGGTTTGAATAGCGGTTAAATGCACGGGTTCCAGCCTGGTTCCCTGTCTGAACAGGGGTGGGGAATTCCTACCTGTCCTCCTGTGGGTGTGGTGAGGGTTAAGTGAGCTGCTCTGTGGAAAGTGCACAGCCCAGTATCCGGCATATTGTGTTCCTAAATGGGGGCTGCTCAACTCTACTAGCTGAGACCTGGGACAGGTGGTCCCTGCACCCCCAGGAGTTCTGGGTGCCCCATGGAGCATTTGCTCTGGGCTTGGAGCTGTGGCCCAGTTTCTGCCTGGGTTCTCCAGGAGGGAGCAGTGGGGAGGGCCAGGCTGCTAATCCTTCCCACACCCCACAGTCTCTGCTGACACAGAAGTGGTGGGGGGAGATGGACAGCACCACACCCATCTGGGCCCTGGTTCTCGCCTTCTTTTGCCCCCCACTCATCTACACCAACCTCATCGCCTTCAGGTCAGTGCGCTGGGGTTAGATGGGCAGGAGTGGGTCCTCACTTTCTCTTTCCTGCTCACCTCCGGCGCCTTCCTGCTTTGTCCAGTGCCCCCTCCCTGGTGGCATGTTCTAGGAGGTGAGCCTTTGGGGGCTCTCTGTGGAATCTCAGGGGTGGGGTTGTCTGGCCAGTGCTCTGGAGAAAGGTACTTCTGGGGTGACTCTAGGGGAGCCCCTGTCTGTCTCCCTGCCAAGTCTGGGTGAAGAAGTGTGGGTTTCCTGGGAGAACTCCTCTCTCTCCTCCCCCCATTTCTCACTGTGCTTCCCTCCATGCCAGGAGGTCGGATGACGAGTCCATACAGAAGGACCTGGTGTTGGGAGTGGAGAGGGACATCAATGGAGAAGGGCCTGCCGGGTAAGTGAAGCCCCTGCACCGTGGGAGGTACAGAGAGCAAGGCGGAGGGGAGAAGTTGGGCTTCAGGAGGTAGTGGTTTAGTGGATCTGCTGAAGATACCCAGGAGTGTCCCACAACACACTCAGGCTTGGGTCAAGGTGTGGTGCTGTCGCCGAGGAGGTCCTCACTGGGGATCAGTTGGTCTCATGCTGCGCATGTGTCCATCTCGATAGGGCAAGTGGAATTAGCGAATTTGGTTCATTTAGGGATCTGTCATCTGTTTCTTTTCTGACTCCAAGACCTTTGTTCTTCACCTCTGTGCTGGGGGCCACAGGCCTAAGCAAATAGTGTACGGAACTTCAGATAATGCCGAGGGGCGGGGGGATTATCTGGGGGATTTGGCTCTGCGTCAAGTTTGGACCCGAGTTCAAATCTTGGCTTTGACCTTGGAAGATACTCACCCTTGAGCCTCAGTTTCCTTTTCTGTAAAATGAAGGCACATTAGAGGTTGTACTTGTGTTAGGTTAGGCCAGGCATGCTGCCATAACAACACTCTAAATCTGCCAGTGGCTGGCAATAACAAAGGTTTCCTTCCACTCACATGCCATCTGTGACTTGGCCATGGCTCTGCTCCACCTGGTCTCTGCTTGGAGGTAAGTGAGTACCTCCCAGCTGAGATGCTGCTGGTCTCGTGGCAAAGGAAAGAGAGCCCTGGCGGACCACACACTGGCTCTTTAGGCCTCCACGTGGAAGTGACATGTGTCACTTTTGCCCTCATTTCATTAGCAAAAGCAAGTCACATGGCAATTCCTTAGCTCCTAATTCTCCCACTGGATGGGAACCAAAATGTCTGGTGCAGAGTAATACAATGTGTCACAGTGTCAGAGAGCTGGGGGAAAGCTTCGTGGACATAGTGTGTGTAAAATGCATATCCTAGTTCCTGGCGCATGGTAAGTGCTCAATTAATGGGAATTGTTATCACTAGTACATTGTAGCATGTAGCAGTGCTTCATTCTTTTTATGGCTGAATAATATTCCACTGTATGGATATGCCACATGGTGTCTATCCATTCATCAACTGATGGACTTTTGGGTTGTTTCCACTTTTGGATTATCATCTTTCTGTCTGGTTTATAAAGAGAGGATGCCTCTCCAAGCCAGTTTGTTTTTCCTGTTAACTTACTGGATTTATTATCACTAGCATTATTTATTTTGGCGTGTCTGATGAGAGGTCAGAATTAAGAGTCAGGATGAAAAACTGCGACAGAGGATCAGAACTCGGATGAGAGGGGTCAGAGATACGAGACCAAAAAGGTCAGAGTTCGGAAGCCAAATATGGTTGTATGGTCAGGGATCAGATACAGGGAAGGAGGAGCTATATGAGAACAACTGGGCTGGATAATCTGGTATGAGCATTTGTCAGTCAGAAGTTAATATTGAGGGACAGCGCTGTCAAGCTTGGGAGCCAAGGTCATGAAAGTGAGGGGGTCAGAGGTCACATGGGAGGGTAAGCCCAGGGGCCAGAGGTCAGAGGGTGGAGGAAGGCAGAGGTGGAAAGTCAGCAGTGTCGATGATAGATTTCAGAGGTCAGAGGTTAGGTCAGAAGTCTAAAACATGGCAGATGGCAGATGTAGTTTCAGGTCAAGCAGGGTCAGAAGTCGTGAAGGTGTGGGGGTCAGATGTGAACGACCAGAAGCCTTGATAATGGGCAAGCCAGGTGCAGAGGTCAGGCGGGGCCCTCCTCTCCCTCCTCCGTCTGTCCCACAGGCTGGCAGAGCCCCCTGAGAAGACGCCCTCAAGGGTGTCACGGCAGCCCGGCCACGGGGCCCGCCGCGGGGGGTGTCCCCCACGCCTGCGCCGCTGGCCCCAGTTCTGGGGCGCGCCGGTGACGGTCTTCATGGGCAACGTGGTCAGCTACCTCCTCTTCCTGCTGCTCTTCGCCCGCGTGCTGCTCATCGACTCCCAGCCTGCGCCACCCTGCGCCCTGGAGCTGCTGCTCTACTTCTGGGCCTTCACCCTGCTCTGCGAGGAGTTCCGCCAGGGCCTGGGCAGTGGCTGGGGCGGCCTGGTCACGGGGGGGTCCGGGCCAGGCCCCGGCCGGGCCCCGCTGCGCCGCCGACTGCATCTCTACCTCACTGACACCTGGAACCAGTGTGACCTGGTGGCTCTCACCTGCTTCCTCCTGGGTGTGGGCTGCCGGTGAGTGCTCCTGTGACCTTCGAACCCCTGGCCCACGACGACCTCTGACCCTTCCTATCCCGGGAGCGGCTCCGCTCTCTGCTTCTCTGGTGGATTGCAGCTAAAACCGACTCCGCTTATTCTTAAAACACAAACAAAATCCACTCCTGGTTGAAAGTACTGCATAAAGATGTTCTAGAAGCAGTTTGCTCACACATGGTAATTGGCTTCAGGGCTAGTGGGACTGAAGTGAGAACCCCACTGCCTCTGCTGCTGTTTATTTTAGGTCTGGAGGGTGCCAGATGTTTCTCGAGCTCTTAAACCTGGCCCTGTAGCTGCACGACTGTCCTAGCTGAGCTTACTTTCTTCCCCCAGACACCAGGCCAGACGCCGGGCCACCCTCACCTCCTCCCACCTCCGCCTCTGCCGTTCACAGTCCCTGGTCCTGTTCTACCCCCCAACTCTCTCTGTCCCATCCCCTCTTCATCACTGGGCCCTCTCCCCAGCCTCCTGGACTCCTGTCTTTTCCCTCCAGTCCATTCTCTCCCAGGTGCCACAAGGGTCTTCCTACACCTAGAGCTGACCTCCCTTCCTGTGGCTCCCCAGTTCCCCTGGACAGAGCCCAGCCCCTGGAGCTGGCAGTGGAGCCCCTACCCACGGAGAAACAGGCTCACCCATTTCTGCAGAGCTGCTCCCATTTCTGTCTTTCATCCATACTCCAGCCTCTTTGAGTGCTGCTTGCAGTTCATTCCACACGGGGACATGACCTTGATCCTAGATATTCTGAATTGCATAGTTATAAAATAGTAATCAGAATTTTATTAGTACTGATGAATTCTTACCAGGTGCTTTAAACTTCCTTGGTCGGTTTCATATGCAGGGCAGGCACACTAACTTCAGTTATTTTCATTTTCAGTCTCTGAAATGATTTCAACTTGGTTAATTATTATTTGGATGAAGTTTTACAACAAATATTTGGTGCATCATTCGTGTTTTTGTCTGTATCAAATTTTGGCCAAAGTCTAGGGTGTTTGTGAATTTTTCTCTATGGCTTTTATTTTGTTCATATCGCTTTCCTGGGTCGAATTTCTTAGGTTCAGATTTCATCAGGGAGCCTTGAATGTTCTGTTGGCCTTTTAGTCTATGAAAATGAAGACCATTTCTGTCTATTTATTTCTTAGCTAATTCAAAGAAATTGTGTGAGGAATTCCCCTCAAATATATCCTGTTGCCACAACTGAGCTGCAGAATATTAGTTCATTTCTTGCAGTTTCCAGATCATGCTGTGTGGTGTTCAGAGGGCAGAGGATGTGTCGAAATGTCCTTGTCCCCCTTTCTGAAACACTTTTCCCTCCTCTCTTGGGCCCAGCTAAGTCTTAACACTTCCTTTGGGCCTCATCTTTGCTGTCTCTGTCTCTGAGGGTCTTTCTTTTATCCTTCCCAGACTCTGGGTCCCTCCTGTGTGCTCCCCGAATGTCCCAAGATCACCCCCAATGGTGCTCTGAGTATGGCTCGTACTATCTCTCGCCTCACACTGGATCATAAGCTCCTCAAGCCTCATCTATCTCATCTCCTGGCAACGTAAAACATCTTTGAAATATAGTCTGTTGTCAAATAAATGCAGAACTATGTCCCCCATGAACCAGACCGAACGAATGGAGAAGGCCATAGAACAGAAAGTAATGATTTTCCTCAGCCCTTCCCAGCACTCCCCGTTTCACTGCAGTCACCTCCGTCAACAGTTTGGTGCCCATTCTGTCTGCTCTCTTTCTATGCATTTGTGTGGACAGACACACATACTTCTACACACAAATGACATTATATTTTATGCATTCTTCTGCAGCTTTTTCCTTTTCTCTACAATATGTCCTGGCATTGTTTCCATGTCAGTATTTGCACATGACTTATTCTTTGGAAATGCTGCATCAGGTTCTAGAGAAGAGGTTTTAGCCCTCACTGGCTAAAGATCAGTCAAAACAGGCTTCTCCTTGCCAGAATTTAATGAATGAATGAATTCTTTTCATAAGGCAGTGTGACAAAAATTCTGAACTTCAAGAGATAAAAATCAGGCAAAAAGTCTCTCCCCAAAGTCTCTTTCATTTTCTACTCAAGATAACATGAAGTTATGATCAGATAGTAGCTGCTCTGGGTCCAGGACCCTGTTGGTCATGTTTCTTTTTCTTTTTCTTTTTTTTACAGAGGCCTAGGAGTTAGGATATAGCTCTTTTTGATGAGAGCAGAGAGATTTGTGAGCACAACCTAGTGACTATTTACAAGGGTTGAAGGGACCTGACACCCCCTTTGATAAGCTAGATGGCTGAAAGCAGTGACCCCATACTCTTTTCTCAGTTGACTTATTGAGAGTCATGTTTCTTCTTTGCTGTTTTAGAAATGCTACAGAGTAATTCTACGTGAATAATTTATTCAAACAGCAAGATAAGAGAGTTTGTAGAACTCTGTGCTTCTGTTTATCGCTTGTATTTTGTATATAGTATCTTTGCAATGAAAGAGCTAAGGCCATGTACTACCATGCTTTAGGAATGCCAGTGATATTTTAGATATTTTTTCAAGATCACCATTTTCTAGGTTAGGGAAGAATTATTGCATGGGAAAAAAAATCCAAACATCTTGGTTTACAAAAGAGAAATTTCTAATGATCTTAAAAAAAATGAATGGATGAATCATTTTGTTTCACCAGTCTCTTCTGGATAGACATTTCAGTTGCTTCTAGTTTTTTATTATTCTAAAGTAATAAAATTTTACATCCCGGATTTAAACTTTGTGGGTCAAAGGGTACATATATTCTTGACATGTTTAGACTTCCTTGTAAAATAGCTTCTCCTGTTTATACACACCTACCATCAAGGTAAGAGAGTGCCCCCTGGAGGAAATGCTGGGCAATTACTGATACTTTGAATCTAAAATTGTAACTCTCAATAACTTTCAAATTTTTTTGCCAATCTGATGGGCAGAAATGACCTCATCTTTTTAAATATGCATCTCAGAGTACTAGTTAGTTTGGACTCTTTTGATAGCTAATGACCGTATGTACTTCTGTCATTGTATTTTTATAGCCTTTGCCCCCATTTTTATTTATAAATCGTGTGTGTGCGCGCGCACGCGCGCGTGTGTGTTTTGTAAATACTCTCCTTATTTTCTAGAACCTAATGGTTGGTGGTTTTGTTCTAAATACCCTTTCACAGTCTGCAGCTTGTCTTTCCACTTTTGTATGTTATCTTAGACATATGACCTAGTCTTCTTTCATTCTTTAACTTTTCCTTTTAAAGTAACCTGAGATTTATTAAAAATGTTGCAAAATCAGGACAAACAATTCTGGTATACTTTTCACCCAGATATCCCAAATTTTTAACATCCTACATTATCAAAACCAGGAAATCTTCAAATTTTACCAACTGTCCACCGATGCCCATTGTCTTGTCCAGGAGCTAGTCCAGGACCCCATGTTACCTTAGGTGTAATCCTCTCTGATCTGGGACAGTAATTCAATTATTTGGCTACTATGACCTTGACTCTTGAACATTCCAAGACAGTTATTTTGTAGAAATTGCTTCAACTTGGGTTTGTCTAATGTTCCCTTATTATCAAATTAAGGGTAAGCATTTTTGACAGAGGTTTTTGCCTTGCTCTGCCCATCATATTTATGTTCTTTTGATGCACAGAAATTTTATATTTTAAAGTAGTTAACTTCATCAATCTTTTCCTTTATTGTGATCTTGTGATTTGTATATGACTTTTTTTCTTACATGACATCTTACCTTGTCTCAAGCTCATGAAGAAATTCTACATTTTCTTTTGAAGAGTTTAGCATTTTTGTCTTTTGTTGTAGGTTTTTAACCTATCCAGAGTTTAAATACATGATGATTTAATAGGGATATAATTTTAATTTTCCCCATAGAGATTGCTGATATTATTTGACCTTCTTTGTGAATTGTTACCCCTTTATCTGCTTGCCTTCCAGTTAGGTCCTTTGTCTTCTGCTTATTGGGTTGCTGGAACTCTATTTTGCCTTTTATAGGTTGGACAGTTTCTGGCATTTTTCTCAACTTGATTGTTACATGGACCTCTCTGTTTTTTGCTAAGGTCGTCGTTCATGCAGCCATTTTTTTTTTTATCATTAATCTACAATTACATGCTGAACATTATGTTTACTAGGCTCCCTCCCCCCTTCACCAAGTCCCCCCCACAATCCCCATTACAGTCACTGTCCATCAGCGTACTAAGATGCCGTAGAATTACTGTCTTCTGTGTTGTACAGCCCTCCCCGTGCGCCTCCCCCAAATTAAACATGCTAATCATAATGCCCCCTCTCTTTTTCCCTGCCCTTATCCCTCCCTTCCCACCCATCCTCCACAGTCACTTTCCCTTTGGTAACTATTAGTCCATTCTTGGGTTCTGTGATTCTGCTGCTGTTTTGTTCCTTCAGTTTTTCTTTGTTCTTATACTCCACATATGAGTGAAATCATTTGGTACTTGTCTTTCTCCACCTGGCTTATTTCACTGAGCATAATACCCTCTAGCTCCATCCATGTTGTTGCAAATGGTAGGATTTGTTTTCTTCTTATGGCTGAATAATATTCCATTGTGTATATGTACCACCTCTTCTTTATCCATTCATCTACTGATGGACACTTAGGTTGCTTCCATTTCTTGGCTATTGTAAATAGTGCGGCGATAAACATAGGGGTGCATCTGTCTTTATGCAGCCCTTTTTAAATAGGTGCCAGTGCCCTGCGAGGCCCAGCTTAGCACTGAAATCTGAGTAAACCCCAGGTGGATCCAAAGGTCCTGGTTCCAGCCCCAGGAAGCCACAGCTTCACCTCACGCTTCGCCTCGTGATTTCCTGGAAGACTCGAGATTTTCTTTGCATCCTTTGAGCCTTGAGTGACCCCTGCTGCGTCTCCCCCACCCCAGGCTGACCCCCGGCCTGTATGACCTGGGCCGCACTGTTCTCTGCCTCGACTTCATGGTCTTCACGTTGCGACTGCTTCACATCTTCACGGTCAACAAACAGCTAGGGCCCAAGATCGTCATCGTGAGCAAGATGGTGAGGGGGCGGGGCCAGAGGAGGACAGGGGCGGGGCCAGAGCGGGTGGACACGCATTGCGCGGGCTGGTAGGGGCGGGGCTTTGGGCTCGGGGGCGGGGCTAGAGCGGGATGGGCGGGGTCGGCCTGTCTCACGTCCTTTCCCACAGGTGAAGGACGTGTTCTTCTTCCTCTTCTTCCTGGGCGTGTGGCTGGTTGCCTACGGGGTGGCCACGGAGGGGCTCCTCAGGCCCCAGGACCGTGACCTCCCGAATATCCTGCGCCGCGTCTTCTACCGGCCCTACCTGCAGATCTTTGGGCAGATCCCCCAGGAGGACATGGACGGTTAGGAGGGATGATTGGGCCCGACTGCACCTCTCTGTGCGCCCGCCCTGGGTCTCTGTCTGGCCCGTCTCTGAGTGTCCCCCTTCACAGTGGCCCTCATGGAGCATATCAACTGCTCGTCGGAGCAGGGCATCTGGGCGCGCCCACCCGGGGTCCAGGCGGGCTCCTGCGTCTCGCTCTATGCCAACTGGCTGGTGGTGCTCCTCCTCATCGTCTTCCTGCTCGTGGCCAACATCCTGCTGCTCAATTTGCTCATCGCCATGTTCAGGTGAGGCCCGACTGCTGTCGGATCGGACCTCTGCCAGCATGACCCTTGACCCCAGCGTGACTCTTGATCCCAGCTTGACCCTGACCCCAGCCTAATCAATTCTATCTTTAGTCGCTGAACTCTGACTCAGATCTAACACAGGCTTGTCTCCAAACCCAGCCAGATGCTGCTCCTGACCTGGACTTTGGACTCTGATCTTCTCGCTCAGCTCAAGGCTAGACATTCACTTTTTTACGTTGACAACATATATAACATAAAATTCGCCATTTTGGTATTTTTAAATGTATGACTCAGTGGCATTGCTTACATTCATAGTGTCATACAACCGTCACCATTATCTATTTCCCAAATATTTTCATCATTCCAGAGAGAGTGTACCCATTACGTAAATGTTAACTCCCCATTCTGTCTCCCCCAGTCCCTGGTAACCTCTAATCTACTTTCTGTCTCCATGAATTTGTCTCTTCTAGATGTTTTGTATAAATGGACTCACACACTCTATGTCCTTTTGTGTCTGGCTTATTTCCCTTAGCATAACGTTTTCAGGGTTCACCCATGTTGTATCCTGTGTCAGTACTTCATTCCTTTTTTTGGCTGAATAATATTCCATAGTGTGCATCTAAGACATTTTATTTATCCAGGCATCTGTTGATGGCAACTTGGATTGTTTCCGTCTTTTGGCAAGTGGAATAATGAACATTGGTGTTCACACATCTCTGTTTGAATCTGTTTTAATTTTGAGGTATATTTCTAAAATAGAATGCTGAGTCATATAGTAATTTTTTGTTTAGTGTTTTGAGGAACCACTGAACTGTTTTCTATAGTGGCTGTAGAAAATTTTACCCTTTTTACCTTCCCATTAGGGATATATGAGGTTACAATTTCTCCACATCCTTGCCAACAGTGGTTATTTTTTTGAAGACATTATAGCCATCCTAGTGGGTATAAACTGGTATTTCATTGTGGTTTTGATTTGCATTTAAGGACTAATGATGTTGAGCTTTACAATGTGCTTATTGCCCATTGTACATCTTCTTTGGAGAAATGTCTGTTCAAGTCCTTGCCCATTTTTTAATTGGGTTGTGTTTTTGTTATTGAATTGTGGCAGTTCTTTATATATTCTGGATTTTAAACTATCAGGTATATGATTTACAAATGTTTTCTCCCATTCTCTTGGTTGTCTTTTCCTTTTTTTTAAATAAAATCCTTTGGTGCACAAAAGTCTTCAATTTTGATGAAGTCCAGTTTACCTGTGTTTTCTTTTGTTCTTGGACTTTTGGTGTCATACCTAGGGACCCACTGCCAAATCCAAAATCATGAAGATTCACTCCTGTGTTTTATGGTTTTAGCTCTTATATCAGGTTGTCGGTCCGTTTTGACTTAAGTTTTGTATGTGAAGTGAGGTAGGGGTTCAACTTCATTCTTTTTATATGTGGAAATCCCATTGTTCCAGGCCTATTTGTTGAAGGCACTGTTTTTCCCCCTTTCAGTGGACTTGGCATCCTTGCTGAAAATCCGTTGGCCATTGTAGTAGTTTCCTCGGGCTTCCCTAACAAAGTACCAAAACAATGGATTGCTTGAAATAACAGATATTTATTGTCTCACAGTTCTGGAAGCTTGAAGTCCAAAGTCAAGGTATGGACAGGGTAGGTTCTTTCTGAGGCCTCTGAGGGAGAATCTTTTCCATGCCTCTTTCCTAGTTTATGGTGCATTGCTGGCAGTCTTTGGCTTGTAGATGCATCATTGCAATCTCTGTTTCCATCTTCGTCTTACCTCCTCGTGTGCATGTCTGTTTCAAATGTCACTTTTTATAAAGAAAGCAGTTGTACTGAATTAAAAGCCTACCCTCAAGACTTCATTTTAACTTGATTACTTTTGTCAAGACCCTGTTTCAATAAGGTCACATTCTGAGGTATTAGGGATTAGTACTTCAACTTACCCTTTTTGGGGGGACACAATTCAACTCATAACACTCATAGATGTAGGAGGTTTATTTCTGGATTCTCAGTTCTCCATTACTCGGCATGTCTATTTTCTGCAGTATCACATTGTCTTGGTTTTATAGCAAATTTTGAAGTTGGAAAGTGAGTCCTCTGACTTTGTCTTTTTCAAAATTGTTGAGGACTTCTTGCAATTTCATATGAATTTGAGGAAATTTCTCCATTTGAGAAATTTGAAAAGTTTCTGTAAGAACAGTCATTGGAATATTGGAATCGTATCAAATTTATAGATTGCTTTGCATAATATTGCCATTATAACAATATTAAATCTTTGTACTCATGAACACAGGATGTTTTGCCATTTACTTAGGTATTCTTTCAGCATTGTTTTGTAGTTTTCAATATACAGGTCTTTCACCTTCTTGGTTAAATTTATCCCTAGGTGCTTTATTCTTTTAGATTCTGTTGTAAATGGGTAGCTTTTTTTATTTTATTTTGACTGTTCATTGCAGGTGTATAGAAACACAGTTGGTTTTTGTCTATTATCTTGCACCCTGCCACTTTGCTGAATTCATTTATTAGCTGTAGTACCTTTCCTGGAATTCTCTTGGATTTTCTATATATAGGATCATCTCATCTGTATTCTTCCTTTCCAATTTGGATGCTTTTTATTTCTTTTTCTTGTTTAATTGCTTTGGCTAGACCTTCCAGTACAATGATGAATAGCAGTGGTGAAAGTGGGCATCCCTGACCTTAGGGGAAAGTTTTCAGTCTTTCTTCATTGAATATGATGTTAGCTGTGTGTTTTTCATGTTGACGTTTCCTTCTATTACTACTTTTCCAAGTTTTTCTTTCTTTTTTTAACATCACAAAAGGGTGTTAGATTTTGTCAAATGCCTTCTCTGTAACAATTGAGATGATCATGTGGTTATTTCCAACTTTGTTCTATTTAGGTGGTGTATTTCATTGAGTGATTTTTGTATGTTGAACTACCCTTGCATTCTTGGGATAAATTCTTTCAATATGCTGCTAAGGTAGATTTGCTAGTATTTTGTTGAGGATTTTTGCATGTATATTCATGCACGATACTGGTCTGTAATTTTCTTTTTTTGTGATATCTTTATCTGACTTTGATGTCATGGTAATGCTGGCCCCTTAGAATGAGTCAGGAAGTGTTCTCTCCATTTTTTGGGAATAATTTAAGAACTGCTGTTAATTCTTTTAAACATGTTTGGTAGGATTTACCAGTGGAGCCATCTGGTCCTAGCATTTCGTTGTTGTTATTGTTGGGACATTTTTCTTCCTGAGTCAGTTTAGGTAATTTGTGTGTTTTTAGGCATTTGTCCATTTCATCTAGGTCATCTAATTTGCTGGTATGCAGTTGTTGATAGTATTATTTTATAATCCTGTTTACTTCTGTAAAGTCAGTAGTAATGTCCCCATTTTCATTTCTGATTTGATTATTTGTGTTCAGGCTGACTTTTGAACCTGACTCCTAACCTCTACCTAGTTTCATGACACTGTTCACAACTTGACCTCCGACATCTGACCCTTGGCCTTCCTAACCCAATTTCTAATCTAATCCTCTAATAAACTCTGACTTTATTGATCTTGACATCCGCCTGCTGCCTTGAACTTCAAACAGATACTGCCTGACATTTGTCCTTGATCCTCCGCGCCTGACTGGGCCTTGACTTCTGGTGACCCTTCGTCTTCGGTTCTCTACAGCTACACCTTCGGCAAAGTACAGGGCAACAGCGACCTCTACTGGAAGGCGCAGCGCTACAGCCTTATCCGGGAATTTCATTCCCGTCCTGCGCTGGCCCCACCGCTCATTGTCATCTCACATGTGCGTCTCCTCGTTCGACGATTGCGCAGGCGCCGAGCCAGCACGTCGTCCTTCCCGGCCTTCGAGCATTTTCGTGAGAGAGGGTCTTGGCTCAAAAGAAACACAGGGTGTTGGGACCCGGAGAAAAAGAAGCGCTTGAATAGGTTGGGGGGATGCCCAGAAACAATAATGGGCGGGGATTAGGATGCGAGGGGTGGAGCGTGGATGTTAGGGGAGTGGCCTGGAATTGCTCTGGTGTTTTGGGTGGAGGCTGGGCCTGGAAGGAGCGTGACTCGAGGGGTCGGGCCCTTTGACTGCATCTGACCCGGCCCTCCAGGGATCCACCTGTCAAAGAAAGCAGAGCGGAGACTGTTGACGTGGGAGTCGGTGCAGAAGGAGAATTTCCTGCTGGCGCGCGCGCGGGACAAGCGGGAGAGCGACTCCGAGCGTCTGAAGCGCACGTCGCAGAAGTGAGGGCGGGGCCTGTCCGGGGGCGGGGCTTCCAGCCTCCAGTGAGGATACCGAGACTTGGGGCTATCGCTTGCCAGGGGCCGGGCTAGAGGCGGAGCCTGCGGGGTGGGGTCCAGGAATGCTAGGAAGGAGAGCGGACCCCTAGGGGCGGGGCTTCCTAGGGGCGGGGCTTCCGAGCTAGGGGCACCGCCTGAAGCCCCAGGTCTGCAGGGTGGACATGGCCTTGAAGCAGCTGAGACAGATTCGCGAGTACGAGCAGCAGCGTCTGAAGGGGCTGGAACAGGAGGTGAGGACTCCGGGTCAGGCTGGGGGAGTGTGCCAGGCTGGGAACAGTGGGGTTCTGGTCTGGTGCCCTAATGTCTCTCCTGCTCCCCAGGTCCAGCACTGTAGCCGTGTCCTGGAATGGGTGGCCCAGACCCTGAGCCGCTCTGCGTTGCTGCCCCCAGGGGAACCACCTCCCCCAGTCCCACCTGAGCCCAGAGGTCAGTGTGTAGGGTCCACCTGTGTGTGTCTCTGGCCTCTGTGATCACCTACATCTGTGTCCCTGCTTTCCAGATCTCTGTTCCCCTATGTCTTGAGTGTTTTCCTCTCTTTTCACTTGCCCTTCCTTTGTCCCTGGGTCAGTATTTCAGTCTCTGGGCTTTTTATGCTTCTTCTCCTTGTTTTTTGCCATTTTCTCCTTTTTTTCTGTCTCTTCTCTCCCTGCCATCCATTTTCTCTTCTCTCTTCCCCCTAGACTAAGCCCGGCTGGCAGACCTGAAGGAGTAGCCCCCAAGGGGAGTTTTTGCTCCCAAGTAAGGCCTAGCTGGTCTTCATTCCCTTCACCTGATGACCTTGTCCTTGAAGCGGGCCCCATGCCGATGGACTAGCAGCTGGGCCACTATTGGGACCACCACAGGGAGTGTCATCTCTGTGAACCACAGCGGGAACCAGGCCTCCTCTGGGCGGATCGGCCTCTGGAGCCCAGGCATTGCCCCTTAGGAGGCTGTGCCGCAGCCTGCCGGGCAGGGGAATGCTACAGGATTATTGGGGTGCAGGGACCACAGACCCCACTCGCAGCTCCCCACACTGGGGAAATAAAGCCATTTGAAAGGAGTAGGATCCGGACGCTTGATTCTTCAGGAGCCAGTGGGTATCTAGATCCTTCGAGATGGGGGCTGGAACTGGTGGTGGGCGTGGAATCCTTGGTCGCTTTGCTGCCCTATTTCAGGTATCTTCAGGTCTGTCGCCTCCTGTCAGCGCTCTGTTCCTGTGAAGCTTAGGTCCAGCCCTCTTGTCTGTGCTATTTTGATGGCTGTAACTGCCCTGGGACAGGAGCCTCAACCATCTGCACCCTCCCTAGCTTTTACTTTCCAGTGGAAAAAGAACTCTAATAATAAGCAAATTATTTCCTGGAGTGGGGGTGGGTGGGCGCTGTGTACATCTGCTTTGGCAAGAGGGGAACAGATTATGCAAATTTGAGTAGATAACTGCATATGTGTCTTTTAAGAGTCTAATTAGTGGAAAATTGCAGGCCACGCAAGCACAGAATTGAGGCAAATATGCATCATTATACATGCAGTTTAACTAAACAACCCATAACAAACTAAACTGGTAATGACAAGGCTGAGCTGACAGTAGTTATTAGTTAAACATCAAGAAAACCACCAATAACCAACACATCCAAAAACCAAAATCCAAACATCCTTCCCCCAAGTTGGAGGAGTTCCAACTATCGGCCGCTTTTGCTGCAGAGCAGCCTCGGAACATTGCCAAGTGTTGTGTGGCAACCTGATTTCTCTGCGAGATGCTATATTAGTTCTCACCAACCCAAGTGGCAATAATAATATAAACCACGATGGTGGCAATAAATAAAACGTAACA